CGATTTGTTGAAGTAGTGCTAACCCGTTTGTCAAAGTGGTTCCAACCCATTTGCCGAAGCGGTTCATGTCATATTATTTGCACAAAGAGGTGCTTTAACATATTATCCAGATTTTGCTAAAGCGACTCATTGCCCAGCCCTATCACCAACGCCATCCCATCCTCTACGACGTAACCCATTTCTACATAGAGATTAGATTTTCTTTCACTGTTTCTGTCCAACCCCCACTTTCCCTCTCATTCTCTCTCTCTCTCTCTCTCTCTCTCTCTCTCTCTCTCTCTCTCTCTCTCTCTCTCTCTCTCTCTCTTTCTCTCTCTCTCTCTCTCTCTCTCTCCCTCTTCTCCTTCCTTATTTTTCTTTCTTTCTTTCTCTCTCTTTTACTGTTTCTGTTCAACCCCATCCCCCTCTTCCCTCTCCTTCTCTCTTTCTCTCTTTTTTTCTTCTCTTTCCTTCTTTTTCTTTCTTTCTTTCTCTCTCTCAGTGTTTCTGTCAACCCCTCTCTCTTATCTCTTTCTTTCCTCTCTATCTCTTTCTTTACTTTTCTTTGTCTGTCTGTCTGTCGGTCTGTCTGCCTGCTTGTCTGTCTGTCTGTCTGTCAGCTCCTCTCTATCACCACTCTCTTTCTCTATCAATCTCTCTCTCTCTCTCTCTCTCTCTCTCTCTCTCTCTCTCTCTCTCTCTCTGTGTCTGTCTCTCTCTCTCTCCCACACCTCCCTCAATCACTAAGAAAAAAATCAATACTGCCCTGAAATAATTAACACAACCAACCATCACGCTACCACGACAGCTCCAGATTATCCCCTAGAATCGTTGACACTAGCACCCTCCCACTATGAACATCGGAGACAATGTAGAAAAACTTCTTTTTGTTGTTTAGTTTGAGTAAGGTTTTTACGGCGCTCGCAACTGCATAAGGTTACATGAGCGCCAGGGGGTGGATGCAAACAGAGAAGTCCAAACAGGGAATCAAGCTTTCTCTGCTCACCTCCCTAGCCTCAACAGCACAAAGTCTGCTTCCACTATCAAGGCACCCCGGAAATAGTGTTTCGTAAGAGAGTGACAAACCTACAAAAGATGTAGAAAGGATGAAGAAAGAAAAAGCACAATCCCCCCTATGTTGTTCCGGCACAGTATGAGCAAAACATTGCTAAATCAGCCCATTTACAATTCTTCTGTGCATAAAAACATGATAATATCCCCCCCCCCCCCTATGGTTGGCCTAAATACACTTCAGTCAGTAGGCAAAACTGTTGTTGCCTCTTCTCCGTAGACACGGCCAAATCGAAGTATTTGAACTTTGAGTTTAGTAAGGGTTTTACGGCGCTCGCAAGAGCATAGGGTCATATGAGTGCACGAAACACACGTTAATCGCATTCACAACAGTTCTGCCGAAAGACGACAAACGCGTTTTTGACTTTAGAGCAGTTTCGAGAAAAAAAAATGTTTTTTGTCAGCGTAATCATTTAAAAATCGAGTCATTCCGAAATTGTGAGTTCTAATTTATTTTTAAAAATTAGTCACAGTTTCAATTTCATTTTTTCACACAAGTAGGGCAACAAATCAGGCTTTCGATTCAGCAAATTATATTAAAAAAATATGGCGCAAAAATAAAAAAAGGCGTTTTGTCAGCTTACGGCAAGAGTTCACAGCATGGCTTGATTTTGGCCAATGTTCAGATTAAAATGTTAAAATATTCACAGCTTTTGAACTTTAACCTGACCCACGTCAACACGCGTCATTAATAGGGGATCCGGCGCAATCTTCTCCGCTGACCTCTTTTTTCTGTCACTGTTGTCCTAATATGCCTAACATATTTTGTGATTGAAATACTTTCTAACTCTCTGTGTCTAGAAAAAATTGTTCTCTTTGAATTCGCGTCTCTATATCGACTTTAAGAAACATGCGACGCTAAAAGTAGACCCTTCACCACCCCCTGCAGGACGATGACTTGGCAAAAATTGTTTGATACTAAGCCGTGATCCTATTCTTTCTATCTGTCTCAGCATTCTTCTCTGTCTCTGTTCATTTATTCTCTTACTCTGCTGTCAACAATCACTTTATATCTATACCTTTGTCCACCTCCTCCCTTCCCTGTACTAGTCAACAAATTACTAATTATGATGAAAACGATTTTTTAAAAATAGTAAACAAACACACATTGAAAACAAGCCAAGCGCAAAGTTACCTAGAAACCATCTCTAGCCCCCTCTACATGAAAGCATCTCAGTAAAAAAAACTCCTTTTAGGATTCTATTTTTTTAAATAAAGGCTAATAAGCACCACTGAAATCAATAAACAACGACTTGGAATTACTCGCTTTTTACTGCCGCTTTGGACAGATGGGGACTTTGGCAGATCACGCCGTACTTTTATTTTACTTTCTGGATGAAGAGCCAGCTCCTAGCGACAGCACCGAAGACTTGTAGCCTGAGATTAGGTCGCGTGAAATAAGACTTTAGATTCCAACACGGGAGATGGTTTTGTTTGTTGGGTATTCCGTACTTTGTAGGTCAATGTGGGAAAAAATTAGGTTCTGGTTGTGAAAGGTTGTGCTAGCACTGTTTGGAAGTCAAGAAAGGTGATGTTGACCCCGTTCGGATACAAAAAAAAAGGCGAATGTGGTAGGAAGGGATCCTCAGGGCCGCATCGCGAACTCTCTTTATCTCTCTCTCGCTCTCTCTATCTCTTTCTCTCTCTCTCTCTATCTATCTTTTTATCTGTCTATCTATCACCCCCTGTCTGTCTGTCTGTCTGTCTGTCTGTCTGTCTGTCTGTCTGTCTGTCTGTCTGTCTCTCTCTCTGTCTCTGTCTCTCTTGCCCTCCTCTCTCTCCCTCGGTTTCATCACGTTTCAACATCTGACAGATCTTCCTTAACACGAAGAGCCAAACTTATGGTACGGCACACACTGCCAGTATATAGTTTACCCTTAGACACACTTATTGAGATAGTAAAAAAAAAAAATTTCTGCTTTACGGCATCGGCAGTGCTGACATCCGTCTATTGAAAAGAAACTAAGAAATTGTATATACATTAAGATAATAAGAGTATTCAAGCTAAGCCTCAAACAGCATCCCCCCCCCCCCAAACCACTTTTTTCCCTTTCTTCCAATGATCCCTGCGATATCTTAGAGCTTTGAGATCGACCTAGACTAATCGCTACCTCAGAGTTACAAAGTTCTATCGGGCAATTTTTTGTTATTTTATGTCACTAAGACCATGCGGTCAGAAACCAAATGGTTTATCTGTTCTTTCAAAATCGTAAGATTATTCGGAGGCAATATCAAAATATTCGAAAAATCGCTTTCGAAAAAGCTTGACAGGATATGAAACTCAAAATATTTGACGTCAAATTTCTCAGAACTAGGTAAAGGTAATGTGTAGCTAAAACTGTGAATTTCTGAGGAAGCGTAATGGGAAACTCAAGCACATGACAGACTCCCTCACGTGGTGATGTGACACCACTGAAGGTACCCTGTACCTCATTCTTTACGTGAAAAGGGTTGAGAAAACCCAAAGAAAGTGCAGGCTGCGTAAATCCAGAGCCAGCAACGTTCCACGAAATAATATGACACACCATCTAATGCACTTGATCTGTGGTGGAACTTTCCGTGCCCGTATTGGTCTGATCAACCACAGTCGGACGCATGCTATTTCACTAATCCTTACTATAGTCATTTTTCCTCTACTTCTTTTGTATGTTTGTCACACTCTTGTGGCCCGCTATTTCCGGGGTGGTTTGGTAGTCGAATCTGAATTTGTGCTGTTGAAGCTAGAGAGGTGAGCAGAGTAAGTCTGATTCTCTGTAAGGACTTCTCTGTTGACATCCACCCCTAGGCGCTCATATGACCTTATGCAGTTGCGAGCGCCGTAAAACCGCTACTAAAACAAACTTCCCAAATCTAATGTATGTAATGTCCTTGTGAATCGCCGACAACAACAGGCAAACAAGGACAGACCCGTCCTTGCAGATACAACGTTTTCTCGCTGAGAAGATAATACACGACCAACACATTGTAAGACCGTGCACAAAAACATGATAGCAATACCTACTTATTGATGATGCCCAGAGTAGTGAAAACACATTAATAATTTCTCGCTCACATATATCTTTATGGCATGGAATGGAAGGTTTGGGGTGGAAGGGGGGGGGGGTACGGGCAGGGCTGTAGCTTAGTCGGTAGTGTGCTAGACTTCAGAGACAACGACCCCGATTCCATTACAAACAAACTAGTCTTTTAACTCCCGCAGCTGCATAATTACTTTCACAGGTTAACCAGAACATACGAGTACAAACCCTAGAAGTGTCGGTGACCGGAGGATCAGATAATAATAATAATAATAATAATAATAATAATAATAATAATAATAATAATAATAATCAACAGCATTTGTATAGTGCATGTCCCCACTCGAATGCAAGCTCTGTGCGCTTTACACTATATTATTACCCCAGCAGACCATAGAACACTCAGAAACATTCTCAGCTTCCCGGGAGATCTTTCGCTGTCTATAGCTGGGTACCCATTCATACCTGAGTGAAGTGGACAACATTCGCGTAAAGTGTCTTTCCCAAGGATACAACGTCGGGCCCGCAGCTCGAACCCCGAACCCGCTTCCTCCCGATTACGAGTCCGGTAGCCTAACCACTAGGACACCGACGCCATATGATAGGTGGTCAGTGGGGTGTGTCCTTGAGGAAGATACGACAACCCAAGCTCAACTAACAGAGCGCTGCGCAATGGCGACCTTTTATATCATGGTTGTGAAATTGTTCTGTGTGGGTGTAATATTGTGTATTTATATATGTATATTATATGTATAATATGTATGTATGTATGTATGTATGTATGTATGTATGTATGTATGTATGTATGTATGTTTGTATGTATGTATATATGGTATTTATAATTATATATGCATGTATGTATGTATGTTTGCCATTGTAAACCAAATCGCCCTTCTGGGATCAATAAAATTGTAATTTTATCTTATTTTTTACCTGGGTCAAGCTCTTCGTTTCCGGTCAATGTGAGCCTGTCTTCATCTGTGTCGCTGCCAGAGAAGGGTTTTTGCTTCATCATCATCGCCATTTTGACCACTGAGCCCAGTGTTCTGCTACCGGAGCTGAAGGGATTAAGGGGAAAAAACCACATTTGTGAGGCAGTGTGGTGAAATCAGCTGCTCCCCAAAATAGTAAAAATAAAAGAAATTGACATCTTTCCGCCTGTTTGGCAGTTTTTATCGAATTTTTGAT